GTAAAGCAGCAAAAAGCAGTTTTTAACTTTAACAGTGCAATATTTGATTCCTGTTCGTCTTTGAATATAGGAAAATTGACCTTATATGTAGAAGTAGTTTTTTTCTCTTTTAGTGCAAGAAGCATATCTTAAGTTAAACAGTGCGGTTTTTTTCCTGTTCGACTGTGAAAATTTGTAAAAATGCAACACAAACATAATATACAGCAGATTTTTTTGTCTGATTCAATTTAAACTTTTCTGTTCACCTTAGAAAATCAGAAATTTTCACCGATGAAAACATGTATTAAGATATTTTTATACACATGGTCGCGTTTAAACAGTGTAGTTTTTCTTCATGTTATGAAACCATAAATTCAAGAAAACACAGATCATATGGATAAATGTACGTTTATTAGTATTCTTCATTGCAATACACACGGTGGTAATTGACAAACTCTGTGTTACATTGATAATCACATCAAATGCGTTAACTACTGTTTAGTATTTAAATGGACTTTACACAATACAATTCTTACCAAGGTAGGTATTTACACAGGTAGAGTAATGTAATACACTTTTACGACTTGCTTTCCAAACATGCTTCTGCTGCACCACATTATATTGGATTAACAGCTGGGCAAAAATAAGTTTGTCAAAGTAGTGACATGGATGAATAATGTACAATCAAATATTTGCAAGTTTTCTTCGACTACAATGCAATGGAACTATGTTGTTCCTCAAAAACTCTTTTAAGTGAACAGCCAAAAATAAGTGTTCCTTGTCAAGTGAAAAAATGTACACTTAAACGTCTAAAGGTGCAGTGGACACACCGTCTTCTAAAACCTTACGTTTACAATAATAATAACTGAATGCATCTTTTTGCTGTACATATGAATACATGCTATTTTTTAACAACCTTATTCCTCTATTCTCACCACTTCCACTCTTTCTATTCAGCAGTACATCTAAATACTTAGTTTCATCTATGTCAGTGTTGTTTCTATTAACACCTTTACAGCTAAATTTCGGCTTTGTTTCTCCCCCAAAACAATAATAGGTCTTACTACAAAGACCAACGATACCGTCGCCAATCCACTCGGCTTTAAATAACCCCGGCGTTCTTTTATCATAGGCCTCGTATTCTGGTGAATCAGTGCGAGGAAACCAAAGGTGTTTTTCAGCTTCGTACTGCTTACGCATATCAGGTTTTATTACGGCTTCCAAGCTATCTGCCGAAAAAGCAATGTAGGCGGAATCTGTGTCCATTTCACAATATTGGAAGTCGGACGGATCCACGAACTTGAGCATGAAATCATAATAAAATTCCAACATGCGCAGCTTGGCATACTGATACACCATGACCCCAATTTGAATGGGTAAATCGTATTTGATTACTTTCTTGTTTAATTCGATCTCATACGTGTCGTCAGTGATTTGATCTAAGCGCCGAAAGCGGGGGTTGTTCACTTTACGAGAGGCCTTAGCTTCACCACAGTATTCCACATCACGGTGTTTTGCTTTATTGGTTACTGTTTTACCGTACCCCGAATTACCAATGAGCTTCATGGTATCGGCAACGATGGCCTTTGTTTTATCTTTGTCCCCCTCTCTGCGAGCATCGCTCACCGCGTTACCAAAATGCTGGAAGCAGGCTTTAGGCGTGTACTCGACTACCTGGTAAATGTAAGTGATGCGAAGACCGTGCTTCACATACCATTTCAAGAGGGGAGTGGCCAGTAAAATTTTTTCACCGAAAAAACTGCCTATAAGCGATTTTCTAGGAGTGCTCATAATGCCATTTTCTTCGGCAAAATTTTTCATGTAAGCACCTATGTCATCTCTGGTAATGGTGGCGTTTTTAAAAATGGGTGGCATTTCTGAAAACATGGGTCTGAGTTCAGAGGGGACTTCTATATCACATTCAATAAAACCAAACAACTTGTCATTGCAAACGGCATGCAAAATTTCTTCAAATTTCAGTTGATGTTTGTTTTCAGTGGGGTGCTTGTACTGATTTACGAACAGTTGCACTTCTGCATTTTCTTTCTGTAATTTTTTCCATTCACACTCCCACATTTCAACCAAATTGTACCCTTGTTCTCGAATGTACTGACTATTTTGCTCTGTTTGGATACGCAGTGATTCCATGGATACTTTTTTCGTTTCATTTATTTCTCTAAATGTGCCGT